TTGTTAATATGGGTGTGTCCCTGGTTTTAGTGGGGATTTGTCACTTTTGGGGGGAACACCCCCATATTAATAAACAGGGGTTTATTGATCCGGGGTCAACCTTAACCACCACCCGGGTCTCCCAACCACTGGACTGTACGGCACGAGATGGACAATGAAAGCAGTTGTCGGGGTGCTCGAGCCCCCGCCCTTCTTTCACCTGCCACAACTCCTGTTTCCTAGAAAGACCCGGGACCAGTATTTTATGGGAGCCCCAGCTTAGTAAAAGCTTCTGGTTGATCCGGACCTTTCCATGTGAAATTCAGGTCGCGTTTTTTGAATTATATGATCCGGCCGCCTTTTCCCCAGGAAGCACAGCCCATGAACCTTTCACCCAAAAACCCCAGCCATTCGACGGCCGACGTGGGCTGGTTGTCCCTCGGCGGAACAGCTGGAGGTGCTGCGGACGCAGAATGGGAACCTCCCGGTCTACACCAGGCGCCGGGAAGCGAGTTTCTCGTCACTGCAGCTCCCCTTTTTTCCACGGTCACGTGCCCATACAGCCAGGACACCAGCCAGTTGGAGAGAGTCCTTTGGTGGCTTCGCCGGTGCATAGCCATGGTTGCGAGTTAATGTTTGAATGAAGTCATCCGTTTTGGGATCCCAGCGTCTGTGAAGTATCTAAGCATCCGATGAATCTGTCCGAATCAATGGCCGGACCCGAATTTCTTTGGCCAAGAGGAAACATAGCCAGTACCCAACTGCTTTTGTTCATGTCCAACCTTCCCAAACTGTCCAAAAAGCAGTAGTTGGAGGGTGGAGTTAGTATTCGTTCTTTGTTGGCTATATATCAATGGACTCGCAGGGACTTTGCCTCGGACTGATCCGGCTGATTCGAACAAGACATGGGTAATCTGCACATTCACCATGGGCCTGGGAACTGCGAAGGCATTTCGGGGAATTGCGAAGGTGTTTAATCTTCCATTTGTGCGAATCAGAGCTGGGGCCCAGTCAGATTCCAGTGGTTCGGGTTCTCAGAAGGTGCTGAAAAAGCCCATGGGATTTTCTCAAACTAGTGGATCCCCTTTGGTTGGGGCGTACCTAGGCTCAAAATGGATCAACCCACTTTGGTATCAAAATCGGGGACCGCCAAACTGGTTGGTTTCCTTTTAGTTTCCTTTCCATCCAAAAGGGGTGCCCTATGTTGATTCAGACCCATGAGGGAAGCCAACCGGCACCGAGACCCGGAGGTATAGCCACGCCGGGGCGGAGGTCTCGACGCTGGTGAAGCACGTCTACGGGGACATCGCGGCCATGCGGAAGGAGCTGATGATGGCCCTTTGGCCAGAGTAGACATTTGGCTGCTCAAAAATATGGAGACCAAAATTTGGCACCTTGGTAAATGGAACCAAAGACTATCATTTGCGTAACCCTAGCTCTTTAATTTTGAGCCACACCCATTTCAAGTATCCATAGTAGACAGATGAATGTGGTGATACTGTGGATGGACGAAGTTCCATTTCGCACCACCATTAAGAAGCCCTGGAAGGATTCCCCCTGTAAATACCAACAAATACGGGGTTCCCAAGGTTTCAAAATTGGACAGGTGGACATTTCACGTATCCATGATGAGGTTGTTGAAATTTTAGGTGTCCACGGCGAGGTTTGTCGATTCCATGGCGAGGGTGTTGATTTGTGAGAGGCTGTCGACTGTTTCAGGTATGCATGTGGGGGTGTTGAATGTTCAGCTTGTATCGCGGTTGTTCAATATTCAGGTATGCATGTGAGGTTGCGGATTTGTCAGGTAAAGAGGTTGTTGATTGTGTCAGGTATGCATGCTGCTGTTGCACTTTCCTGCTGCATCCATGTGAGGTTGTTCCTTCTTCAGGTATGCATGTGAGGTTGTTGGTTTTTCAGGCATCCATGTACCCTCCCTCCAACTAACATGGCACCTGTGGGAGGGTGCCTGGAAGATCAATCTCGTCTTGAATGGACCAATTCCCTGTGAGGTGCCATGTTAGTGGGAGAGAGGGTAAGATGGCTGGCTCGTTTCAGGCATCCTAGGCTGTCGAATGTTCAGGTGGTCTCCACGTCTTCATCTTGTCAGGTGCTTGTGCAGCTATCCATGTGAGCTTGGTCGACGTTTCCGAGATACATGGGACCACCTCCAACTTGGGAATGTTTTTCGGGTGGGGGGGGAAACAAGTGTACCTGGACCCTCAAACTACCCATAAAAATTGGATATCACCATATAATTTTGGGGGTCAAGCCCATTTTTAAGTTGGAATTTTGAGGGTTCTGGCATCTTCCCAAAGGCGGGGCTTTGGTTCGCTCGGGTCGGAGGTCACGGAGGCCCCCTGCCGCGTGCGCCCGGGGAAGTTGGAGGTGCGGGGACTCCACCGCTGGCTGCTCGGCGGGGTTGGTGGTAGACCTGGCTTGGGGAGAGGGCGACTTAAGCTACGATTCTATAGGTTATTTTGAAGACCTGCCTGGATATTGGGGGGAGGGGCCACTGGGGGGATATTGGCACAAGGGATTGTAGGGATCTGATGCATGAATGTGAAAACCAGGGGTTTGGAGCCCAACATGGCCCCAAAAAGAACTTGGAATGGTTGGATATGTGTGGGGAGGGGAGGAGGGGCCACTGGGGGGGAAATGGGTGGGACTCCCTTTGAGACCGGGCTTGGTTGGTTTTCTTGCTGCAGCGGCTCCCTAGGGTGGCAATCATTTGGAAAGGCCGCAATTTGAAGTGAGACTCCTTTCAATTGATGACTCAGGATTTTGTCCATCCATGATCAATGAGCCATCCACTCAGGAAGTGAGATAATGATTTGGTCCATCCCAACTGGTGCAGGGTTTTGTCCATCCAGAATGAGCCTGATCTGCCTTGCCATCCAAATGCCTGGGCCCAGCCTGTGATACCCCCCTTGGATGTCGAGTTTCTCGAAACGTTTCCCCCTTCAGCCGTGGCTGAACGGTACTATTCTTCGGCTCCGCACCACGTCGGCGGAGCGTGTCTCGCGCTAGGAGAAAGACGCAAATACTTCGACGCCCGCGGCGTAAAATCCGCATCCCGGATCTCTCGCCTCAACGGAGGCCAAGCGTCATAGGGGATTGAACGACCAGGTAAACCAGGAATCGCCCGACCTATTTTTCAACCAAATCAACCAAAAGGACACTGTGGATGGACGGAATTCTGCACCACCTAGGAAACACTGGAAGGATGATTCCCCTGTGAATGCCAACAAACAATGGGTTTTCATTGTTCCACAGTGGTGCGAAATGGATTTCGTCCATCCGCAGTAGGTGTCCTTTTTGGTTGATGTGGTTGAAAAATAGGTCGGAAACCCATCTATTTTCCCCAAAAGGACACCTGTGCAAGGCGTGGCTATCAACCAAAGGGCTGCCGTTTGTCCCATGCAAGGTGGGGCTCAGGTGGCACCTGGTGAAGGAGTTCCTCCTTGCTGAAGTCAGCCTTTCCTCCACAAACGGGTAGGCAAAGCGCTTTTTTGTTGCGGGACTTGGGGGTGAAATGGGTTTTCAGGTGGCGAATTTCAGCCTTTGGTCACTTCAAGGGGAATTCTACCTGGAACGCTGGAGATAACCAATGGTGGGGATCAAAGATTCTTATAGATCAGAGGGATTCATTTCCCACCACCATTGCTTTGGAGAGGAGTACTGACTTCCCACCCACCAGCACCGCCACTACTCCTACCAGCATCACTCCTACCACCACTCCCACCACCACCACTCCTTCCAGAATCGCCGCAACTTTCGAGTCGGCTCGCCCTCCGAGGAAGCTAAAGGAGTGGCTCATGCACCACGGCCCACGACGGGGGGTTTGATGTGGGTGGGTCCACCCTGGAATGATGATTCCGCTGTTACCAACAAGCAATGGTTTCCCCCAACAGTGCCAGTAGTTGTTTGGGAGATCTGGCTTGGACTTGGACTTGCCTAGCATTGCCAACTCTAAGTTTAGTATTGCGAAGCCTTACTCTCAGATTGCCAGATCACAGATAAACAACCCTGTCAAAGTAAATGCGTTAACCTTGTAATTTCCCCGCCACCAAATCAGGTTGCAATTAAAACAGTGCCTTTTTTGTGTGACTGTTTGGCCTTGGTGTTTGAATAAGGGATGTTTTTTGAAATCAATGGTTTGGGGACTCCCTCAAAAACAGGAATTCCTAAATCTAAGGACTTTAGCTTTAAAGGACTTAGATAAACCGCCCGCGAAGAGTGAAAGGCTAGGGCTTTGATCGGGTACTCGTGTTTTTGATTGCCGGATTTTTCCCGCACGACCTGCTGTTAAAGCGAACCCTGACTTCAGTCGCAGGGTTCTAAGATTCTGACTTAAGACATCAAAAACAAGAGGACCACATGCAAACGTGGCCACGTTCAGGTTGCTTTGGCCTTCTTCTTTTTTGGGAATGGCGCCTTGGGGCCTAGAGTGCCGTGGTGCCAATGCGTGTTTCCGCGCCCGAGGTCCCTTGGCATGTGAGCGACTCGTGAGCGAAGAAAAGATGTGAAGCGGTCGAGCCCGAGCCCGCGGAGTCTCGTCCGAGTCGCACCAAATTCTCGAGCCCGAAGGGTGAATTGTGTTTGGAGCTCTGTGTTGGGTTTCTTTGTTGTAGGTTTGCTTGCTTGGTTGGATGGTTGTTGTGGATAAACAAGGGGCCCCTTATCCTTTCAGGTACTTTTTTGCCTCACCTTCAAAGAAGCCACTCGAAACGGACCTTGAAAAGTCAGGTCCGAATCGGTCGCTCGTGGTATTGTGTGTGGGGGGAGGGGGGGGGGGGGGTAAGAGAAAGACGGCAGTTCTCGAAGCTCTGCAAATGCTCATCATGTTCTTGCCAGTGGGATTCCCAAGCCAGGTTTAAGTGCTTGGCCCGAAATCCCCTTTGCTGCTGTCCAAAAGGCAGTGGTTGGAGGGTGCCGGGCCGTCTTTTTCAGGGAAACGGAAACGTCAGCGGCACGCGGCACGGGACGACTCGGATCGCTCCGAAATCGAGTCGACGGCTGAGGCCCAAAGCTCTCGGCACCTGGGTGAGGCCAAGGCTGCGGCGCAGACGCGCCGAGAGCTCAGTGAACCGAGCTGGAGATCGTCCCCCGCAACCTCCAAATGCCCGGCCTGTTTTCAGGGTATCAGGTCGACCCTCTACTAAAAAAGGTTAGGTAACCTAGGTATTTACCATGGAACACCAGGTTTTCCCAAAAATGCCCTGAACATGGCGGGTATTTTGAGTAGGGGGTAGGTCTCTGAATTCAGCTGTCCAAGTGATTCACATCCCTTCTCACATTTGCAGGGTCGATGGTGGACCCATGTGACCCCATGGAATTTCCGTTTCTCTTGACCTTCTGGCCCCAAAACGTGAACCATTTGGGGTTTCCAAGGGGCGACTGAGGCTTGGGCCCGGTCGGGGGTCATTCTTTGAGAACTGTTTCGACTTTTGGAGTAGAGGGTCGGCAGGTCTGGCATGTGGGTTCTCCAAACGCGGGCCTCCTGTGTTCCCTGCTTAGGTTCTCTTGTTTGAAGGATGCTGGGGTCCCGATATTCCCCATTCAACCAGATTTAGATGTGATGTTCGAAACCAGGGAATGAAAGTCTCGTATACAGGAAACCTCCAGCGGTGGTTGCCTCTTGGTTTCCCTAAAAGCATCCTCTAAAGGGGGGTCCAATTCGTCTGAGGCAGACGGTCGTGTTGGATCGTTTTGGAAAAACGGGAGATGCCTGGACCTGCTTCGAGCCTGTCTCGAACAACATGGCTGTGGTTGTCAAAACAGTTTTGGGATCCCAATGGATCCCATTTTGGTTGGCAGGTGAATTCACCACCCATTTTAGTCGAGTTTTAGTGGTTGGATTGGGATGTTCGCTGGGGTATGATTTGGTTTTTGACCCATGGCCACATTGCTGTGTGTGTGTGTGTGTGTGTGTTTTCTTTCCGAATCAATGTTTCAGCCTCCATCTGATTGCTGGTCTGGATTGGTGGTTTAGGATTCTCCCAAAGAGTTCATGGGCCCCCCAAAAGAAATCGTTCTTTCCTTGATTGTTTCTCTTGGACACAACACATCCAAGAAGGTGCCGACCAGTCTGCCACATTGAGAACCCCCTTTTGCGTGAATGTTAAAAGAGTGTCCTGGGAGATGCGGTTCAATCTCGGGTATGCCCATTGTCCATCATGGGGCACCCAACCTGCTGAGACCAGGCTAATAAACATGGCTTGGGGTTGGATTCTGGCCAAGCCAAAAGGTTTCTCTACCCATCAACCAGGCAACTCACATATACTCATTCAAAGCCATACAACATGGCCATTGCAGCAACACATACTATATGTTTGTTCGAAGCCACAAAGGACCATTGCAAGCCACCCTCCCATGGTTCAATTTGCGAGTGGGCTTTGAAACATTCTTCGAGCAACCCCGAATTTTCATTGAATGTCCTGGAACCAACCCATAGCATCCCAAAACGGCATGCTCATCCGCCTGCTCCCCCCCCCCCCCCCCCGCGCTCCCTGTGTGTGTGTGTGTGCGTGTGTGTGGTGAGGCTGTGATCGCGTCTTGGATGCCATCGAGAGGTGGCTTACAGACATGGAGACAGCCTGCGACCCAGTCCCACATGGCCATGGGTGGGGTGGGGTGGTGGGGGGGTGTTTGTCACTTCCTGAGTTCCTGGACGTTCGTCACTTCTTGGGCTTGGACCATAGTCTAGGTCCCCCAGTAGTGCCCTTTGACCGTTTCTTTTTTTGGGGAGGGTTCCCTACTAAATGAGACTACAGAAATAAGGGTACCCTCATTCTAACCTCTCTACTGGAGGACCTAGTAGTGGTAAACAAAAACTTTAAACTTCATCCACTCAGGAAGTGAGGGAAAGCCATGTTTTGCACCCAGTTTCCCACTACTACAACCCGGTAGCGACTCAATTCTGGTCATGTACGGAAGGGCAAAGGGGCACCCCTCCCCATACATCCCCATACATGTATTGCTCTGTTACCAGGTAAAGCTTATCAAAGAGGCCCCGCGCTTTTTCCACGTCAGTGCACTGAGGTCAGGCAAAGCAAGCACAGAGAGAGAGAGAGAGACGGAGAGACAGAGAGACGGAAAGAGCATGTGTGTGTGTGTGTGTGCATGGTCCCAAAGCGAGTTTCCTTCCTGTTGAGCCATCTTGAGTAACGGGCCAATTCAAAGAGAGCCATTGGGGCGGGGGCGGGGGGTCTTCCAAGATGTGTGACGCTCCGCTTTAGTTTCAGGACGGGGGCACTTGAGGGCACTGAGGCCAGAGATCGGTCGGGGGTTTGAGGCATTCCAAGTTGCGTATTTCATGGAACCCTTAAAAAAAACCAAATGACCATTGTCCTTACTTGGCGCTTGGAGGATCATGGTGCTGCAAACCCTGGCAACGCTGACGAGTTTAGTGTCTTCGGGCTTTGCTCCGCGTCTTCGGAGCCTAGGCCTTCGCTAAGTCCGCCCTTCGCCCCCAGCCTGTCTGGCCTTTCCAATTTTTTCCAAGCCTCCATCAAACAAACTACCTCTCCGTGTTGATCCTGGGCCCATCAGGCAAAAAAACCGACCGCAACTCGCACACCAGGAAAAGAAAACCCGTGGAAGCAGTATAGTTGCCATGGACCTGGGTGCTGGTAAGAGACAGCTCCTTAACCGAAGCTGTCAAAACACGGGGTCTCTGAAGTTTCCTCCCTTGAAGCTTGCCCGCAAACGATGCCTTTCCCGGAGCCCATGTGGCTGGATGTGCCGCAAACCGGTTGTCCAGGCTCTGGTTGACTCCAATGCAATGCGGGAAATTAACAAACCAATCAGCCGAGACCAAGCAACCAAGCAACCAGGCAGCCAAGCAACCAAGCAACCGACGCAAGCAAGCAAGCAAGCAAGGAAGCAAGCAAGCAAGGAAGGAAGCAAGCAAGCAAGCAACCAAGCAAGCAAGCAAGCAAGCAAGCAACCAAGCAACCAAGCAACCAAGCAACCAAGCAGCCAAGCAAGCAAGCAACCAAGCACCAAGCAACCAAGCAGCCAAGCAGCCAAGCAAGCAAGCAACCAAGCAACCAAGCAACCAAGCAACCAAGCAAGCAAGCAACCAAGCAACCAAGCAACCAAGCAACCAAGCAGCCAAGCAAGCAAGCAGCCAAGCAAGCAAGTAAGCAAGCAACCAAGCAACCAAGCAGCCAAGCAACCAAGCAACCAAGCAACCAAGCAGCCAAGCAAGCAAGCAACCAAGCAACCAAGCAGCCAAGCAACCAAGCAACCAAGCAACCAAGCAAGCAAGCAAGCAAGCAAGCAACCAAGCAACCAAGCAACCAAGCAACCAAGCAACCAAGCAACCAAGCAACCAAGCAGCCAAGCAGCCAAGCAACCAAGCAACCAAGCAAGCAAGCAACGCAACCAAGCAAGCAAGCAACCAAGCAACCGAGCAACCAAGCAACCAAGCAACCAAGAAACCAAGCAACCAAGCAACCAAGCAACCAAGCAACCAAGCAACCAAGCAAGCAAGCAACCAAGCAAGCAAGCAACCAAGCAACCAAGCAACCAAGCAACCAAGCAACCAAGCAACTAAGCAACCAAGCAGCCAAGCAGCCAAGCAACCAAGCAACCAAACAAGCAAGCAACGCAACCAAGCAAGCAAGCAACCAAGCAACCGAGCAACCAAGCAACCAAGCAACCAAGCAGCCAAGCAACCAAGCAACCAAGCAAGCAAGCAAGCAAGCAACCAAGCAACCAAGCAACCAAGCAACCAAGCAACCAAGCAACCAAGCAACCAACCAATCAACCAACCAACCAACCAAGCAACCAACCAACCAACCAACCAAATACAAGGCCAACAAACCAACCAAGCGACTGACTTGAAGAGAACTTTACCAAAGCCCTGAATTGGGTTATATACATATATATATATATATCCAGCACCCGGGTCCCAACCGCCACTGCTTTTTGGCGGCCGTAAGGAATGGTTGCATGGTTGGAAAAGCAGGCAGTTGGGGCCCGGGTGCTGGATGGGGAGCTGAAAAAGCAAGATAAACTAGAGAATAAGGCGTGGAGTCAAGCGTGCAAATTCTCTGCCTCTTACCCAGACCCCTCAACAGTAGTCCCTTGTCCACTGTTTTGGTTTAAAAAGGGTGTTTCCCCTCTAAAGCTCACTTTTTGAGGTCCTGGACTTTCGACACTTTTTGACCAAAGCTTGGACCATTTTAGTGGCAAGCGCCAAGGCTTGGACTCTTGGCCCCACTCAGGAAGTGAGGCAATCAACCACCAAAACTGCCGGATCCTTTCTTCCCGCGACCACTGAAAGGTTTGGGCTTATGTTAAACTCGTCTCGCCCACTGAGTTCCGTCCGGACGAACTTTTTGGGCTTGGACCAGGTTTGTGGCGGACACAAAGTGTTTGGACTTTTTTGGGCCAATGCACTCAGGAAGTAGGAAGTGAGACTAGGTAACCCACCAACCAAACCAAGTAAGCAAGCCACCAACCAAGCAACCAACAGGCCAACCGGACAGCCGACCAACCAATGATACGCTTTCTTTCCGCTGGAACAGGAAACAGGTCGGGTCCCTTGGCTTTTGGTTGAGGCTCGGAACCGGCGGGCTTTCCAGCAGGAGCTGAGGCGGGCGCTTCGCGGGTTTGGGCGGTTTGGGCGTGTCGTGTTTGTTTTTCTGGAGGGTTTCTGGGGGGACGGTTTTTTGCTTGGTGCGGTACACCAGGCTCATTCCCTCATTCCCTTGTGGTTTTCGATGCACCATCCCTAAAAAAATCATTCCACTGGTGTGCTTTAAGGGGATTAAATGGATTTTGAAGGAAAACACAGCGCCCGGGTCCACAGCCACCACCGCGTTTTGGAGAAGCCGCACGGCCAGTGGGATTTTGGATGGGAAAAACAGCCGGGACCTGGCTGCTGGAAAGGGGAGACACCGCCCGCATTTTTTCGAGGTCCCCCCCCAAAAAGTGAGACGAATGAACATGGGGTGGACATGTGAATCGCCCCTTTGGTGGGCATTTGGAGGTTTCTCACGCCGGATTTCGAAGCTTTTTTTTGGATGGCGATAAAGAGAAGCCGCAAGAGAACAGTACCTTCCTTTGGTGGTCCATCAATTTGAAGAACACCCGTTGAGGTTCATGCCCACCAACCACTTTGGAGGGAGGTGGTTCCCCAATTCATTCCCATTTGGAACCCGCTCCAAACCGGTCGACCCCTTTCCCATCGGCCCATGGAAAAGAGGAACCGCCTTTGGGCTCCTTTTTGACTGCATGGGGTCCTAAAGGGGGTTCTTGTTTGTTTTCAAGAAAATAATCGCGCCTCCTCGTTTTGGCAGGCAAAAGTGCGGCGAGTAGTTTGTTTCTTTTTGCTTGCCGGGCTTGGGGTTAGGGACCAGGTGGTCTTTTTACGACTCTGGTACAAGCAGATTGGGAACGGGTTCTATTCTCAAGACCTGGGTTTGTTTTCTGACTCTCTTTTGGCCCTGTTCAGCCAGCAGAGCCACGTGAGATGTCCCTTGTTCATTTGACCGTTCGGTTTTCGCCTAGATCTGTTTTTAGTCATAGCCCCAAAAGGCTAACCGTTTATTTCTGGGTTCTTTGGGCAACTGAGTTATACAACCCTTTATAGCCATCTTAGTACAGTCCATGAGTTTCGGGGTACACAAGACTGATTCGCCAAGTCCCTTTCCTCAAATGGGGGGGGGGGTGATTCAAGTGTCCGGACGACATGGGGTGACCGGGGAACCCCACCAACAACGATTCGACCAAGATGACACCGGGAAAAGTTCCCGGTCATTTTGGGGGCCGAAGGGATGATGTTTCTCTCCCCCGTCGAATAGGCGTTGCGTAAGTTTTTTGCTGGGGTCTCCTGCCATCTGATTAAAAACAGGTCGCGAAAAGCAACTTCCCGAGGCGTGGGCCCATTCTGGAGGGCGCCATGCCCGAGCCCAGCCGCGAGCCCGAAATTTAGGCTCGTCGGTTTCTCGAGCCTAAGGGCTTGGAGGGCGGCACGTCCCGGGAAAAAAAGAAGAGGAGGTCAGGGGGGCGGGAGAAGAACAAGAACTGCCAGCTGATGAAGATGTTGCAAAAAAGAAGGTAGTCTTGTTTGTATCACTCAAGGTTTTTATATCTTTCATGCAATTCCACAACTGCTTGGTGTCCTTTTCTACCAAACATGGGGTTGTCTGTTTTTGAGGGTGCCCGTTTTGGGGTTCGTTTAAATACCCCAGAACACGACCCAGTTGGGGGTAGCCTTATTTTGACACCATATCCTGGGATTTCCCATTACCCTCAATCACCACGGGCGAAGGAGTTCCTGCCCCTCAACCATTGGCGAGCCTCAAGCAAATCCGAAGAAAACTTGTTTGTTTCTATTTCCTCCATCCCAGAACAACTTCTCACGTATAGGGGTCCTTTTCAGGTTAGTTTGGTTAGAAATAGATGCGTTCCACAGGTTCAGATTTGCACACTAAGGGCACGTCCTTTACCCAATTTGGGTGTATGTTGAAGGTTGTGGAACCTCCCACACGCCACGGGGCCCGCTTCCTTCCCCTTTGCACCAACCCCCATTGAAGCAACCTCGAAAAAGGTGGGGTACCGCACATTTGAGGAAGAGTAGTATCAGTTCAGTCGAAGCAACGGTACCGCACGTTTTAAGAAGCGTAGTATCAGTTGCTAAGTCGCTCTAACTCCCACCGGTCTGGTCCTGCGAGATGCCACAACCCTAAAAACCTACCGCCCACACTAGAAGACAACTGCTTTTTTCGTTAGGGATGTTGGACCCCGATTGCGGGTATGGGCAAGGTGGCAGGGAGATGGATTTGGTGTTTGTTGTTGAAAAATATGGTTTCTTCCAGCATCTAAACGAGCAACACAAAAGGGCTGGCCAAAGTTCTACCCTGCTCATCAGGTCTTCGGATGGTTTTGGCTATACCCAGATAACCCCCTTGGACAGAAGTTAAAACAGATGGGCAAGATGGGCCAAGGATCTTGCTTGAAATGAAGTCTTGTGATTCGTTTGTTTGAACTTGTCCCACACCGAGTTTCACAACTTGACCCAAGACATCGGCCATGGTTCTCTTAGGAACCTGGCTGCAACCGCTCGAGCTTATACCATCCCTAGCCCTGGGAGCAAGTGAGGTCTGCGCGATTTGAATCGGTCTCAGGAGTTTCGCTCGAGCCAAAAGTGCGATTGAACACCCAACACGTGATGAAACGAATGAGCATACAGCAACAACAATTGAATGTTCAGGGGACCCCCAAACAGGAGTTGGGTTTTCCTCTTGGTGTCCTCCCAAAACCCCTCCCAAAACGGGGTATCAAAAAAGACGCACTGAGATAGATGATCCATCGAGAAGATAGCTAACCGAGCCACTACTGCATGGTCATTGTTGGGAAACAGTTTACATGTTTGCTTGCTGGGTTTAGTGGTTGAAATCCAAACACATAACTGCTAGCTCTTTTTTTTTGCTCCCCTTCCAACGTCAACCTTGAAAAGGCTGGGGGTGCAGTGGATTCGAATCCCCAGGTTTGCAAGGCAAGCAGTTCCCAAAGACTCTTTCCCGAACTCGCCTTAGTCACCAGGCGCCAAAGCTCGGCCAAGGGCTCGGCCAATCGCAAGCCGCAAGCGCGGGCGGGCGGGCGCCCGCGCCTCGAGGTTTGCTGGAGACCTTGCTGGGCCCCTCCACAGCGAAGCTCGGCGATGCTCTTTGACCTGCCGGAAGGGCTCGGGCGCTTTTCTTTCTTCGTGTTTTTTCTTCCAACAGCTGTTATCTGGGAAGACTGCTTCTTCATGTTCTTCCTTTCTTTTTGGGGGGGGGGTTGTCCACAGCTTTCCCTCCAGCAAGAGTTTTTCGCATCGCTCAATCTCATCTGCACGGCGTTACCAAGCATGGCTCTGTGAAACGGGAAGGCTTTGGTTTTCGCAGATCTTCCCGAAAAAAAAAGCTCCTAGGGGCCAAACAGCCTTCCCGTGGTCCAAAGTGAATGAGCAAACCGAAGGTCCAAAATGAATGAATGAAAGGTCCAAAATGAAGCTGACAGGTCCGAACTGACAGTGGTTCCACAAATGTGGGCTTGGGCCGCTTGATCCCAAGCCTTTGCCAAAAAAAAAGAAGCAAGATGCGCAGTTTGGGTTTCTTTTTGGCGAACAACAGCAGCCCCAGCTCCAAAATCTAATCGTTTTTTTGCGTTGGCGCCATAGGCTCCATGTCCGCTGTCCGCAAGCCTCGGCTGCGATGCGCAATTGGGTGACTCTAGCTCAGCCAGCACTTCTGGCACGCAAGGCGACGTTGGTGCCCCGAGCAAGACAGCGCCGCTGCTTGGCTGACCCAGCCGAATTTCCACCTCACTGTCATTGCTGCTGTGTATGCCTGTGAGTTTGCAATTCGACGGGCCAGTTGGAGCCAAACTGTGAGTTTGTTTGGCTAGGCCTTTGACCACATCAAGGGCTTGGCTCTCGCGCAAGGGGTTCTGTCCGCAACCCTGCGGCGGAGCTTGCTGCCAACGCCACCTTGCCACGCTACTGCAAGGCGATGCCCGGCGGGCAGCCCGCGGCTTCAGCGTCTGTGCCTCCGTTGCCTCGGGGGAGTCGGTAGTCCTGCTGGACATGAGATTCGTTGCGGTGAAGGAACTCCGCACTCCGATCCATGGCGAGATCAGTTCCTATTTGGAGTCACTCTACTGCAGCGCGGCGGAGGCTCTGCCAGGCACGGCGTCCGATTGCGAAGACGCTGACTATAGCTGTGCTTAACAGTTGCAACTTTCGAGCCGAGGCTGCCAAAGTGTTCGCTCTTTCAAGCCGGAGCGGCCACGACGGCGTTGCCAATGTAGAGTGAACGAGTGAGTTGCTGCCGCTTGTCGCTCGTCACCTTACTTGCGCCAAAACAGAGTCGGACACGGTTAGTTGAAAGCCAAAACACTGCAAAACGGTAAGGAGCAAACACCGATAACAAGAAGAAGGATTGCACAGTTTATCGCCCTCTTTTTATACACTCCCGAGCTGCCTTCCCCCTGTAGGTTAAGAAAGGCTCTCTTAGTGGTCTGTTGGTATTCTTTAATAACACGGCGTTTTCTAGAAGAACAGCTCGCCAACTTCTGCGCGGCTACGCGCGAGCCCTCTTGATGGCATCTGGGGATAGCGTTGGACGCATTGCCCCAACCTCGTGTTTGTGTGTCTGTACCCGCACAGGCGTTTGGCAGCTGCACATTCCCATTGCGTGCGTGTGCGTTGATAGTTGCAAAGCAGTGGCGCCTCAAGACCCCATGTGTGAGCAACGGAGGCAGTTCCGAGGGGTTGGGCGCGCTGCGTGCGGGCGCAAGCCCTGCTGGAAGATTTGCAGAACCAGGAGCCGCGCCGGTGCGCAACATGCGCAAGTTGACGATCCGCGCCCTATATCCCGCAACTCGGTCGCATTGACCAAGCAGTGCCACTTCTTTGCCTTGCGCCTCAACAACCAGCATCGTGGCAGTTGGCCTCGTGCCCCTTTTCTGGCGTTGAAAGGCCTTGCAGGGTGTTAACGCCCACGAGCCCGAATCCACGGTTTTTTCATTTTTTGAGCATCTCAAATGCTCAGCCTGACTGACGAAGCACGGCAAGCGCAAGCTGGATGAGACTGAGGCTGCGCAGAAGGCAAACGGCCAATCGGCAAGCCACTCAGGCAAGCCGCCCTGCCAACGCGATGCTGTGGAGCATGAGCTTGCTCCCCCTCTAACAAACCTTCCCAGACAAGCCGCAATTCTACGCCATGCCGTACAAGACCCGCCCAGGTGCAGCTGTGTGCGACAAGCAGAGCGACGGGATCGAAG